CCACCAAAAGAGCAAGCGAGAGAGATCTTTCGAAGGGCAAACAATCGTTTGAAGCCGTACCAACGAAATTATACTTTGAGCGGGGAAATTTTCTCTCGGCAAATATACGTGTGCCACATAAACCATTCCCCATCTCGAGCACACCTATAAAAGTCAAGTTGGAATATAATACTAGCGCGCACTTTCTGTAAATGAAATCTGCCTTTGGAAAATTATATTCTCCTGTACTGTCCACCCTGCGGATGATTCACCCACTCGAGATGGGGGGAGGGGGATTCCTTATCGTAAACAGATTGGCTTCCGATCGATTTTCTTTATCAATACTTTCTTCCTTCGACGCGACTATCGTGGTTTTTCACTTCCCCCCACGACATTTCACTGTGCAAATGTTTGCGCTGATTCGGATCTCACAAATATTTCAATGTGTTCTCGATTGCCGTGCCGCATCGACGCCAATTGTTTTTTCATATTTTTCAGATACAGGGCTATTTTTTAATCATTATTATTGTTCTTTTACATTTGTCATTGGAAATCTTGCTTTTTGACCCGTCAAAAAAGCGTTGGACCCTAAATTCCGACAAAGTAGCCTATCACCTTTGAGACTACTTATGTCAAAAGGTTAAAACGAGGGCTTGTTTTTCGGTATCAAATCACGTGACTGTAAAATACCGGACGCAACACCGTGTATGTACATTTCCGTCTTAACGTCGACAATGGGTCGGGACGCGTGAATTATCACGTACAGTATTAATATGTTGCATGTATAATGTGCGTATCCGTCGTGAAATCAGAGCGAGGTGTGTATAGATCGCATGGCACAACATGCACAGGTACGGCATTGATATGCTAAGCGGGCGATTATCTAATCAAAATCTGACAACAGCGTGACCTACATGTTACATACGTACAAGATTGTCATTAAACAGCGGCGGTGAGGCAGTGGCTTGGCTCCAGTCGTGTACGTGTGTATCTCTGCGAGTGCCGTTTCATCGAAAAAAATAATTCGAGAGCGTATGATAATTTTCGTGGACTCATAAACACCAGAAATCGACGCGTCATTTTTGGTATACAGCACCGGCGCAACGTTAATATTTACGAGCCAATAACATACATGTCAAGCGGTTTGCTTTCTTCCGCCCTCCTCGGGACAGACTCGTAAACAACCCCATGGGCCGGCCATTACCATACCACGTGACGCCAATCAACGCCGTCCAAATTTATTGCTCGAGATTGTGGCGTTGAGCACCGCTCTGTACTTCCCTGGGAAGGAAAAGAGAAGAAGCCAAAAGGAAACGTTGCTCCCGTGCACGTGTAATCAGGAATTGTTTCGTCGTCACGTTGCTTTGTTATCGGCCTCGACGACCCCTCCATGTGCCCCCAGCTATATTTCATTACACGCCACTGCGACGAATTGCACCGGGTCCACCATGTCAATATATATATTTTTTTTTCAATCGTGAAAACGTGTTACTACTTAATAGGATCTCTGTCCCCTGCCATCGATTTTTCTTCAGCCATAAACACGAAAAAAAGGGGGGATAAATTCCGTCGAGATAAGAAACGATCAGCTGTGGTTATTGTTTTCGTACCGAGCAGTCCACGTGATATATACTTGGCTGTAATAATTTTGCGAAAAAAAATATAGATACGTCCTGGAGAGGAAAAAAACAATTGCCTCGATCGAATCGGCCGAGTTTGACGCCGTAGAAAAATACGAGGATACAAATGAAGGCCCTTGGCTCGTAAATAACGTGGGTCGGGAAAAAATGGCCACGTATCGATGACCACGGGGTTATAGCGCAGCGAGAGTAGGTTACAGAAATAGAGGGCCTTTATCATTACACGGTCACTGATGAATTGTTCTCCGTATTGGGTATACTCGATCATCGACACACCGATGGAAAGGATTAAACAAAGAATCGCTGATAATTGCTCATGTACAATATTGCGTACAAAACTCGATGATCCCTTTACCGTCGGTGTGAGCAAAAACAATGAAATTTTTTTTTGAAAAATTTGCTACGTCAGTCTGCGCAGAGCCACATGTACACAAGATATTTTCCTCAAGTTTCGCAGCGAGGATTCTTTTTTCTTTTCCTTTTTTTTTTTTTTTTTTTTTTAAAGAAATTCACAGATGCCTCTTCCTGGCATACATTACGTATAATATATTTGGAAATCGTACCCATACCGCTTGTACGTGTATACAGAAGCAAAGNAAGTGCATCGTTTTTTTTTTTTTTTTTTTTTTTTTTCTTTTTTTTTTTCGAAAGAGGGTACACGGTAGGGTGGGGGGGGGGTTGAAGAAAGTAGTCGTGAAAACAAATAATGCACCGCACAGGGCGATAAATCACAAACGAGTTAAACCGGCGAGCCGGCGTGATTTATGCGATAGCGCATACTGCAGATGCGTACGAATATATACGTATGCACACTGGCATGCATATTATTTCCTCTTTGCACCCCTTCCTCGTAGAGGTGGATTCCCGGCAAAATGGTACGCGCGTCAGTTTGTTATAAGTATATATAATCGGAGATTCCCGCGCGCGCTGCAGTAGGCGAACATTTCGACGAATGGAAATTGCCGAAAATCGCTCGATTGAACCCTGTAGTTTGCTAACACGTGGCGGGAGGGAGGGGGGTGGCCAATTATCGCACCGAACGAGATCCCGATCCGAGCGCGTGTTGTAGTCTGAATGATCGTTAATTTTCTCCCCGCACCGATCAAACTTTATTGACGATTCCGCGACTCGCTCGTCCATTATATACCTGCAGTGCGGTGGTGATCAGCGAATGCAATTTCGTCAAGCTCCTTTCGTGTTACATCCTGTCGTTGCAGTTTCAAGGGATGGATTTGCATATTTTTGAATTCGAAATTGAGTTTAGCAAAAAATAGTTTGATTTTCAACGAGGAGTTAAGCTGCTCGTGACGTAGTTTTGGGACAAATATCAACTATTCTCTCAAAAATCAAAATGGAATCAAGTTACTTGAAGGAAAAAAATCGCTAAATTGCTGAGAGAATTTTTTCATTCAATGATGTGCTTGTTGTATCATTCTCTTGCTGATGTCGGATACGGTGTGAAAATTACTTCCATGGCACCTGTACGCGTAGAAAAATATTCTTTTCTGTTTCTTCTGCCGCGCGATTGATTTATATATATTATGTACAAGGAAACTGCACGACCACCGTAAATCATATACACAAAAACAGGAGGTCCTCGTCAAGGTTCCTCATCCGTCTTCGACGCGTGTCCCAAGCTTGCTTATTGTCCTCAATCAAACTACTTTTTAACCTCTACAAAAAAAAAAGCGTGAAACAATCGACACAACTTCGTCACTTCCGTCACCGCGCCCCATTACGTCTCAAAAGCCTCTCACCCGTTCCCGTTTCCACTCCGCGCTATGTGGGTACCAATGACAAACCGCAAGCGCGCGCCATTGTACGAAACTACGATCCAAAAGCGCCTCAGCCATTCGATCGAGTCGATGAATAACCCACGCGACGGTCCCTACACGGGCTTATCCATCTTGTGCGCGACGGGCCGGAGGGAGGGAAGCGAGCGGTAGACGACGTGCATACAGAGCGGCTGGAAAAGTTCCCAAGTGATAATGTACCTGTCGGTGTAGTTTGATTGGATACACCCTGGGTATACACATATACTTACACGTGGGACGCGGCGCGCGAGGGATTACAGATCCCGTCAAATGGAGAAAGTAACGTGGGTATTGCCAGCTTGTTTTTTTTTTTTTTTTTTTTTTTTCGTCCTTGTGCGACTGCATGTGTATGTGCAGGTGACGGAGGGAAGAGAGGCGCCGGCTCTTTCGAGCGGGTGATAAACTCGCGGACATAAAATTTCCGGAACAAACGTCGTGACGCGAAATTCTGACAGTTTTATGGCGGGAAAATGCCCAAGAACGCGTTTCGCCGTTTCAGAGGCAGTGATTCGGGACCGCGTTTCTCTCCGGACGCTGGCAATTTTTCACGGTCCGAGTGTATAATATACACCAGCGTGGTGACAAGTAAAAAAAAAAAAAAAAAAAAAGTTGTTGTATGGTAACAACAACACGTCGTTTAAATGACGAGGCGTCGGCGAATGGAAATCTTCTCGAGCTCTTTTTTAATTAAAAGTTCCGGGGTGTATGAAACGATGCGCACTACCCGCGAGTGGGTGAGGGAAAATTGAAAAGTTGACGATTTACGTGATGCAAGAAAAACGGGGCTTTGATTATTTATTGCGTCTGTCTTTTTTTCCTTTTGTTATTTTTTTTTTTTGAGCGACACTGCACGATCTAAAAATAAATAAGTAAAAGGAGTATTATTTTTTGTGCAATTTTTAATGAATGGCCATTTAATGGGGTGAAAGGTGTTTTTTCCGTCACTGTTAGAACTCTTGCCCTGATCGGCATTCATTTTAAATTAGCCTGGCAATTAAATTTCACGATACATTGTATTACATAAATATCCGTCCATTATTGCTAATTACAACGTTAAATTAGCCTCGAAAAATCCCCCTTCGTCGGTAAAGATCGGTAAAGGTCTATGCATGTACGAGCGTCTTTTGTAGCAGATGAATCAATAATAATCATTGCAAACATCTATTTCGGACTGGAAAATTGAAAATTTATTATAAAAAAAAGAAAGACAGAAAAATAGCAAATTATGATTCCAAAGAGCCAAATCATCAATGCGAAATAAATCACTTGAGCGCGTGGATTCCAGATCGGAATTTCATAAACCGCGCGCTACTCTCTGCGGATATTCGAGTTCGATCCACCTGGAATTTGCACTATTTGTTCCAAATTATTTCGACTCCTCCCCCCGAAGATTATTTCGCTTCGTTAGGTGCAGGAAAACCATCGAAAGATTCATTAAAACCGCGGTGAATGGGTGAATGAATGAATGGGCAAAAAGATGAAATGGTGCGGGTAAAACGGCACATTGACAAAGCTATACATGTACCACGTGGCACGGGCGCGCTGTGCGTTTGGCGTATTGTTACAGTGTCGGCGGGAGCAGCAACAGCGGCAAGTCGGCGCGTGAGACGTGGCAGACCACGATTGGGAATCCGAGGTGGCAGGCAACAACAGCCGACGACCCACGGGAACTCTCCCTCGAGGGGTGACTGGCTGCCACTTGACATGAGGACGACGCCCCCGGCGATGCCTGGATACCGTGGCTTCGACGACGCTGTCTCGGCGGACGGTGTGGTGAGTCTTTTATTCACGTCAAACTTTACTTTTTATTTTCAGCTAAGCTAAGTTTTTTTTTATTTATTTTTTATTTTTTTCATTTGACATTGAGGAAGTGCGCGGCTCTTCGTGTATTAATTTTAAACACTTTAGGCTTGAAAACGTACAGCTACTTGTAAGTTTATCCATTGAGAATTATAATTTTCGCCGAGTAATCATTTTACAAGAGAAAATAGACGACAAAAACTTCGCCAGTAGTAAAACGTACATTTGGTCAGCCTCGCTCGTGGGGTCATCCGGAAAAACGAGCCCACGAAACCATTTCCATCGATTGCACCGCTCTGTAGCGCGCGCACACGCACACACACACACACACACACACACAATGTACAGCTACTTGTAAGTTCGTCCATCAAGAATTATAATTTTCGCCGAACAATCATTTTATAAGAGAAAATAGACGAAAAAAAACGCAAGTAGTAAAACGTACGTTTGGTCAGACGCACACCTAGCGAACAGAGAATCGCGGGGTCATCCTGAAAAACGAACCCACGAAATCATTTCCATCGATTGCACCGCTCTGTAACACACACACTCACCCAATATATTTATAAACTCGCACGAAAGCTCCCTATACTTGGGTCGCGCGTGGTAACCGCTGATCGAGGCACTTTGAGAATATAATCACTGAAATAGGGAAAACGATGGATCCGCTGAGGCATCTGATCCCGGAAAGAAAAGAAAGCCCAGCACGAAGGAAGGAGAGGTAAGCCACCCCAGGGGCCCCGAGTACGTACCGGCTCTCCGTTAGAAAGCAACTTTCCTATCCCCCGAGTTTTTCCTCCTCCGATGTAACGAGCTCTAATCGCGACGAGCGTGTCCGGAAGGAAAAAAGGCACGTACGGCGTAGGCACGCGGGAAAGAACCGTGAGATTGCAAGTTCGAGTAAATTCCGTACCACCGCAAGGGTCGACCATGGATCTGCATGCGCGAGGGCCTCAAATCTGTAGACCGCGCGAGTGCGAGTCGTACGTACCCCACAACTTGTTTCCCGCTCTTGGCCAACTTCCGATCGATTATAGCACCGCGGAAAGGCACTAGCGAAACTTGGAGGTAGCGTGTATCGGCAAACCGGTGCCTTGAAACTTGCTGGCGGGCTTCCTCGTTCGTAGACAATAACTCATTGGCACTCGTGCGGACACTCGTTACGTTTATACCTCGACTCATTCGTCCCGAGCGCGTGCGGGGGTGATCCGACGATTCCGGCTTTCCACACCCCCCACACCTAATTGGCCCGGATGCTCTGTTATTAATTATATCCGATCTGCTGCGATTAGCCGGTCCGCACCTCCGTCCAGCCTTGGGGCACGTGACCGCCGTTTTGCCTCATCTCGTCAAGTGCCGGAGAAGTCTGGCGCGCATTAGCGGGGATGAGCTGTACGTGTCGCGCCAAAACCGGCCGTCTCGATCCTCGGACATAAATTCGTCCCATTGCAGTGTCGTTTGTCCTCTATTTCCTTTATCCGCTGCGCATCGAGGGTACGAGGCTTCGCGTAGTCTCTTTCCCGGGGCGATTTTTCTCAACTCCGAGCGCGCGGTATCTTGCCCGCCCGTTGTTTGGCAATTTTTCGACGTCGAGTGGAATAACGTCCGACTCTTATTTATCTCACGGCGTGGACTCGGCCCAGCGAAGATGGATCCTCCCCGTCCCCGCCCGGGACTCCTCTTGATCCTCCTTTTTTTTCCCAACCATGTGCATGCGAGTTTACGTGGGGTTTCAATTGACCCTCAAGGTTCTTTTTTTCCTCCCCCCTCGGGGGTGCGAGAAATGGGGCCCGAGGGAGGGGAAGCGACGCCCGTGTTTTGCTTGTTCTGTTGAGGAATCGAACGAGATCTTCCACTCGGACAACGACACTCACGAAACTTTGGACGTGTACCTATACATTAATGCGAAATGACCAATGGGCTCGAAAGACCACACCACCCCTCCCAGGTCCCTCGTGCGGAGCGAAACCTTCTTTCGGTTCGGTATCTCCGAAATAAATTACCATCCGTCACGAAAGTAGATTCGTCCCTTTTTTTTTTTTTTCGTTTGTTTCATCGATTACCGATACACGCGTCCTAATGATCGGTACGTATGAAATGTATACTTTGCTTATCAATCAGCATCACATCCCTATCGACTTGGTTGCATCCACTACCAAACAGAGCTGTGAACCCTCACTGTTTACTCGTCCTTTGGATTGTAAATACCGTATACGCTAGATCAGAAAAAACGGTCATCTCGTCCTTTGTCGGGTTTTTATTTGCGAGGAGAAAAATTCATGTCTTGCAATCAGAGAAAAACCCTGTCCGGCGAGAGCCGAAGGGAGAAACAGCTCCGTAGAGGCAAATGTATGCGCGTTTTCGACGCCACCCCGGCTGCTAACCCCTTCTCCGACTAACCCACTTACTTTTTGCCTTGGGTACATCGCACGAGATTGCCCTAGTAGAACACAGAAAAAAAAAAATTTACTGCCGCGGAGGTAAAAACATCCATTTCGCTCGAACTTTTCGAGCTCTTACCCCCAATGTCACATTGACCGCGCGACGACGGCTGATTTCGAAAACCCAAACAACCCATCGCGAGCGAGGGGGGGAAGGGGGAAAGGGACTCGAAACGTCATAGCGCCATTTACCATCCGGTTGTCGGAGGTGGTAAAAAGAAATTCCTTTTTGGGACCTCTATACCGTCGTCGGTATAACCGTCGTCGCGATAAAAAAGGGGAGCAGCAGACGACACGTGCCCACCCACACCAGCCATGTAAATTCAGCCCCGAGCACATTTGATCGGAATATGAAATTACTCGGGGAGCCGGATTCGCCTCGTATATATACTATCCTACAGTCGATCTCTTTTTTTCCCCCTCGCGTTAAATTTCCTATTATTCCCTTTTTTTTTCTCTTGATCCCTTTATTCGCACGCGCATGGGATACGTAACCCAATAATTTTGCTGTGAAATGACGCGTGGTGATGGTTGAACGTAACACTCCGAGTGTTATCGAGTATATCATGTATTTCACTATTAATATACAAAAAAATTACATTTTTCGGTGTTTCATTGTAAAAAGCATTTTATTTCCCAAAGTAGCAAAGGATTCACCAAACATATGTCGCTCTAATTCACCCCCTCGTACATCGTGTCTCGATACGGACTGCACCATGTTGCCCCTTAGGTTTTTTTTTTTTTTTTTTTTTTTTTGTTCTAAAAGCCATAACACGGACGATGCCCAACTCGTTGAAAAGTTTGACGTAGAGGTCACAAGAGGGTCGATGAGAGGTACGAGGGAAGCAGAAAAGTAACTCGATATTCCTTAGGGCTACTCCTCGTAACGTTGGCTCGTTCGTCAAGGTTGTCCGAATATGTATACGAATTGGCTCTTTCAAGAATTTACGAGTACACAGATGACTATGTCGTCGAGCCTGGGTACCAGAGATCGATATTTTTGTTTCAACGGGAAAGCCAATTGATGCTGGTACGAGGCAAGGTCCCGAAAAAAAGGGTGATTCCGTAAACAAGCGTCAAAACGATGATCGGATCAAACAAAACATTCCCTCAAAGCACTTGTGTACTCAGACGATATACGTGGAGGCCTAAAAATCTGGGAGCCAAAGCAGACTCGAGTATCATTCCACGGCTCTCCCCCTGTTTTTTTCCCAAAGGAGTTAAGAATAAGTAAATAGGCGCAGCCGGAGGGGTACCTTTGCGAATCCCACGATTTATCAATTTCGCCTGTGTACAGACTTATCTCCTCCTCGCACGCCTGTAAATACATCCGAAGTTTTCCCCTTCGCTCGGAGAGATTCTCTTTTTTCTTTTTACCTCTCCGTAGCTGCCGTGAAAAAATTTCTGAGCTTTAATTCTCTACGAGTGTATATTCGCCATGTGGACATGAAAATAACACTGGTCCGAGCATCAACGCCTTTTTTTTTGCGAACATAGCGCCCCAATAAAAGTTGTCTGGTATCAAAAATTCCCATCGAGATATGTTATATTCTGTCTCCCCCCCTTTTTTTCATGCTCCACCCCGATACCGTAGTGCGACGCAATTGTACCAAGAAGTTATTAATTTTGCCCGTCGTTTATCATCCGCGTGAAAGAGACGCGTGTTCGGGATATAAAAGAACAAAGTCTCGCGAGACAATCGAGCTGGGCGTCGGGTAAACTTGTGGAGCTCAAAAGCTGTTATTAGCCCTTTATCGTTGACTCCTCTCTCAAGTGCGTTTCATTAAAAAAGTTGGACTCCCCGCCAACTTTTTCTCGCTTCTTACCGTGCGTGGGCTACACTTTAACGCAAGTACACCCGCACACAGCGACGAGTAAAACGTGATTTACCATGGGTAACGAAAACTTGAATGGTTTTTAGTTTGAAAACCAGTTAAATCGTTGAAAAAACGCCGATCATACATTTTAAGTGATACAGGTCAACGTGCGATGCGCCTTGCACCTTATCCAGCTTGCGACGATGAAAAAAAAAAAAAAAAAAAAAAAAAAAAAAAAAACTTGTGATTCCAGGTCCACCTGGGCGAGGGTGTGGCCGTGTGCGAGGAGCAGCTGCGCGCGGTCAAGTGGAGCGACTACAGGAAACTGACGCGAGGCCTCGCGGCCATCCTGTTCAGCCCGACGGAGCTGGCGACGTGCTCGGTGACAGGCCAACGCTGGAGCCGCGCGGGCACGGCCACCGAGCGGCCCGTCAAGCCCGCCCTCGACAAGGCCAAAGTTCAAGCCATCATATGTAAGTACACCCTCGCTGCCATTGCCATTATTATCATTAGCGCAACAGTGGGTAAGTAGTGATTATATTTNCGACAGCCACTCTAAAAAAAAAAAAAAAAAAAAAAGTCAAACGTTCCCTAGTCACGTTTGACTACGCGTACAACATCTTTGCACGCACGCGTATTCCAATCTGGTCCCTTTGATCCGGGTGTGCTGGCAGAGAGCGCGTATAGTGGTTCTCCCATGCTCGAGTAGCTCCTCAATAATTATAATATATGTGAAGGTATTCATTGGCCAAAAAAAGTCACATGTAAGCGGAAGTAATCATTTCCCTTTAAAGTTGAAGCTATTTGTGCCGTTTATACACGTAGAGAGAGAGCACACGCACAGAGAGCAGCGTAGCGTCAGTATAGTGGGAAGCGCATAGCCATGTAATTTTGAAGCGCTCACAGTTGACTTACATCAACGCGCTCCGGTGCCCTTCTCATTTGCGTTTCAGCTCGCGTGTGTACACACGTTTGCTCGGTCGTGCGGTACCCCCCCTTCATCGACTCGTTCCAAGCTTCAACGCGCCTATACGTATGGTGCGCTAAATAACCAGACGCGCTTGCAGAATAATTTTGAAAGCTCGCGAGCATATAGTAGGTAATACGCAGCTGCTTTGCTCCGTATGGATTATATGTGTCACCTACGTATGTATCATCCGCACGTGATGAAAAGGAGAACGAACATCTTTGGAATTCGGGATGTTTTCTTTGTTGCGAGGGGACCATTGAGGTTTGTTGGCCTGGAATTGGGAGAGAATCGTTTGGAGGATCGGGTGGAATGTTTGCCTTTGGAGGGACATGTGTTTTATTGGAAAATTCCAACTAGATGAGCTGCGGGGAACACAAAAATTGTCATCGAAATCTTCTCATGCGCGAATAACCATTTTTCTATAATTTTTTTGCCGACAAGTATATCGTGCTAGCTTTCATGTTGATCCCTCACCGTTTTCGGTTGGCAACCTTTTTGCTGTTACTTTATTTTTCCCCGCAGATTTCGATGAGATATTTACTCCTGGTAATGGTAATAAAAAGTAAACAAAAAAAAAAAAGGACCAAGAAGTTGGGGTTGCCACTTGTTTGCGCGTGTACGGTGGGCAGGGTTGGGAAACGCGATCGGAAAATATGTATGTATATATTTGAGTTGAGCTGGTGGAAGATGATATTCAATCTGCGGTTATACATTTTTAGAGAACATTTTTGCTCAAGGAAGGTATGAAAAAATATATGTATACGTGCTCTGGTTATAGTATCTCGTTGATAAAAGCTTGGCAAATCGTGAGAATAATTTTGTATAAACCTGGTGGTTGGCTATTATTTTTTAGTATCACCCGCAAGCTTTTATCTCGAGACGTGTCCACACTCTTCTTCTTTTTTTTTTTTTTTTTTTTTTTTTTCGTAACTTATACAAAAAAAAAAAAAAAAAAAAAAAAAAAAACAATGAAAATCGAGCCAATAAAAATCACACTATCCGCACTTTCCGGCCCGCTTGCTTCTCCTCGTCGCCCTACAGTCCGAATCCTTTTTTCCCCTCCCCGATATCTGGGACTATCTCTCCCACGCGTGACTGTGAACCATATAGTTCTCGGAAAATCAACGACTCGTACGTACAGTGTACGCGCGTACCTCCTATTTCCCATCCCCCCGGCGCTATCAGAGTCGTGACTCCCGTCGGAAGTGGGTGATTACGGACCCGCGAGAAATACACGCGTGGCTAATCCATATTTTTCCGCGCTAATCGTTGAATCGTCGATACATGCTTTATTGTCGTGCCCCTTTTTTTTCAATCTAACGGCGCACGAGCTCATGTCCTTCTGCGATCCGTAAAACAAGTTTGCGGGAGCTTCGGTGGGCATAAATCCCCGAGACTGTCGCAACTTTTGGTTCCCCGAATGCCTCTTTCGGGCTTCGTTGGCCCGCTGTTACACGGTGTTTTGATGAATCGCGCTGATAACGCTCCGGAAAAGTACTTTCGGGCGAATTAAAAACCAAGGAACTCTCTGCCCTCGCGTTCAAAACAAAGAAACCCATCATCCTGACTCGCCTCTTGAATTTCTTCCTCCTATCGATCTGATTTACAAGCGTCCAGCCCGTGTTTTTATTGAAAAATCCCGACTGTGCCTCTTTCGAGTTTACCAACTTTTGCAACGTTTTGTGGCTCCTGCAAATGCGCGATCGTACCAGATTACGGAAAGAGGGTAGAAGATGTCTTGTCCATTACAATAGCAACAATGTCCCGTTTGTCTGTTTGCAGCGTACGTGACGTCACGGTTCCCTTCGGTGGACGTGAGCAGCGTCAAGCAGGTGTTGGCCTACAAGTGCAAGGAAAACTCCACGGCCTTGAAGATGAAGTCCATCCGGTATATTTGGTGAGCCATATTTATTATCCTCGTAATTTTCTACACCCATAATGCCACCCCATCGTGTATACCACGCGTCAAAGTTGTCGACAAGAAACTGCGATGGATGTTTGGATGATCGAGAATTCCTTCGTCCTGTGCTTAGTTTGTATGACTTTGTAAGGTGTACGCTTGGAAAGCGAGTACAATATCGCTCGAAAATCCGAAAAAGACTTTCGAGTACAAACAAACATTCCAAGGGTCTCCCGAGACAGTTTCATTATTGATGCACATGTACGAGTGCGCGGTGAGCATATATATTATATCCACTCCAAAAAGGGGGTCGCCCGTCGTCCTTGGTATCGATTTCTCATAAAGCCAAAAGATGGGAGGGAGGAGAAAAAAAAAGAGAGAGTAAACTCTGTAAAAAAAAAAGTTTTTGGAGCTGTACAATCGAACCATCCCCACCGAACAAACAGGGGGACTCTCGCAAAAGGTCGTTTCGATTCAAGAATACAGACGAGCTATCCTGCTTTTTTTTTAATTTCAAACAAAGGAGAAATTGACACTCCGTATGCATACACCCGATGATTTTCCAAAAGTGCATCGTTTTTTTTTTTTTTTTTTTTTTTGCACTCTGTTGCTCTCGAAAAATCACGCGCGTTCCTCTTCAATCTTCCTCCCTTTCCCCGGAGTCCGCCTCGTCACTCCGTTGTCGTCGACCATAAAACGCAAAGTGGAAAAAAAGGGGGAGGGGATGACGCGCACTCGACTCCCATCCTCTAAACCCTTTCCGCCGCGGTCCCCTTCTCTTCCACTCATAAACGTGCCACTCGTCGACGCGAACTTCCACGTGCGTTGTACACGCGTGCAAGTGGAAAAAAAAAAAAAAAAAAAAAAACATGAAATTATAAGCTTTGCACGAAACTGATTATTTTTTAATCACCAGAGCGCAATGAAGCTCACGTCGCCAACAGTTTGAAAACTTTTATGAAACCCCGTACACCCCCGTAACGCGATGGGCTTTCCATCTCACGAAAAAAAAAAATAAATAAACGAAATCCAACCGCGTATAAGCTTCCGTTACTCGTTAAGGGTAGTTTTTTCCGTACGAGTTTATACGAATAAACGAGGCTGGCAAAAACTTTCCATACAATTGTACTTCTTGCATCGCGAAAGAAGAGCTGAATAATCAGCTCCGAGGGACACGCGATAAAACGAGAAAAAAAAGTGGTAGTTGCTCGTTTGCGTTGGTTGGGAAAAACCGACAACAAAATGAGTCCGAGAGGAACACACGTCCCAGGAGAAAAGTGTGGAGCGAAAAGAGGGGGAAAAAAAGAAAAGAATAGTAGGTGGAGCAATTAGTCGGGAGGTTGTCGTCGGGAGAAAACTCTTTGCCGGGGAATTAGCGACATTGAATCGCGTGACAGCCGGCATTCGGGCGCCGGAGCTGATGCTTTTTTCCCAGCTTCTGCTTCCCTGGTAAGTAATGAGTTTTCGACTCTCGAGCGCCAAGTGTAAATAATTGGACTTTGAGAATTACCTCGAGAGAGAGAGAGAGATAGTGAGAGAGTGGAGGTTGTCTCTTGTTTACCATTCCCGGTGAAAATCAATTAAATCTTGTCCTAAGGCGCCTGATGGTGCATATATATACATCTTTGTGTATATAATAAGAGGATGGCACATCAACTGTAAATGGGGAAACTCGAGGAGTGCCATTCGAGAGAGGTATTACCTACTTCGGTAGATGGTGCTGGGTACCTTCTCTGTGCCAATTGTCCCTGACTTTGGAAGATATTTAATTATGCTCGCTTTTGCATGGAAAAGTGAGGACTGAACACATCGAGATGCGATGATAATAATTTCCTGTATCGAATTTTTTCTTTCATTTTATTGTCGAATGGGAACTGCATTCGGAACCAACAAGTAAA